GAAAAAAAATGCTTTCTTTTTGTTTGCTTTATCTTAAAATTCTCTTTCCCCTACCTATCCCAGTATAAAAACAGATTCTAGAGAGCTGGACTGCCATGCCAGGTGTGGCACATGCTTATAAATCCTATCACTTGGGAAGCTGAGGCAGGAGGATTTCAAGTGTAGGTTCGTATGAGATGATGAGTTTAAGAGCAGCCTGGGCCACAGAGCGAAGCCATACCTCAAAGCTCCCAGTGCCCCCATGTCTATCTCAAAGCTCCAAGGCCTCTGTTTTTAGTTTGACAGTTTCCTCACCGGCTGCATGAGGTCATTTCTGAGGGTGAGGGAACTACTTGTGAAGAAGAAACTGTTATTCTAAATCTCCAGTCAAAGGCAGTTCTTGCAAGGCAGCGCTGGTGGCTTTTTTCTAGGTCATGGGTGGGCCTGCTTTAAAAAAAAAGAATTTTTTTGATTACCACCAGTTTAGCTGGAGGCTTTTGTCTTGAATTAATGAGTGCAGGCTGGCAGGCAGAGAAGAATTTTAAAAGACTGCTTTATATTTTCTTTTTGTTGTTTTTTAGGAATGAAATCTTAGAATCCAGCTTCCTGGCTTTGAGACATTCAGTTTGTTCTTTTTTAAAGATACAAAATATAATGTGGGGATAATAAATGATAAAAATATCCCCAAACCTCACATCTGTGCTTGGTGCAGCCATGTGACTGTCAGCCCCTTGCATGGGATCGGCTTTTGCCCTTTGGAAAGTAGAACCTCAAATGTCTGCAAAACAGCACGAGGCGATGGAGGCCAGCTCCGCCGAGCAGCTTCTGCCGCCTCGATCTTAATGTCTGGAATTCTATGTAAAAAGCCTTCTGCTTTCTTTTCAAGATACAGACCTCGAGTAAGTGCTAGGCAGGTCTCCCACAACAAGAATGGGTCCTTTTCCTGAAGAGTTTAGGAGCTTTCCCTCCTGAGAAGCTCTTGACATAAGAGGAGCACCCCCAACCCCCACCCCACGCCAGCTCTGCGTGAATGCCTGGGGTCTCACAAAGCAAGAGCATGGATTTCAAAGGCCTAGAGGGGCTTCCTTCCCATGGTGAGGGGCGGAGTGAGGGCTCCCTCTGTGTGACGTCTCATTGTAATGCTGCACTTGACATTTCCACACAGGCCTGTGGGGAACAAACAGACAAACCAACACAAAGTGATTTTCCTTGCAGCCGCCCGCTGCTAAGCGACTGCCCTACCTGCCTCCAGAGTCGTCTGATGGACAGATGGGCCTGGGAGTGATGGAGTGACATTGTTATGGTCACTAGACAGTTGAGGTACATGGATAATAGGCACACAGCGCACCCTGGCATTTAGGAAATTGTGTGGAGCAGAACCACCATCATAATTTTTTTTAAAGAAAACGATAGGTTTTACTCTTTTATGTTAAACTTGCCTGGGTGTTTGAAGGTGCTCATAGAATTCTGTTTGTGGGAATTTGGGAAGGGCATTATGTTGATGTGTGCAATGGAGAATTAAGACAAACGATAATTGAAAGAGATGATAAAAGCGAATGGTTTCCATGGGGAAATAATCACGACCTGCTGTCAGATTGATTCTAGAAAGAGCACTGCTTTATGTGAGATGTTTTTTAAACAGCTAAACCAAAGCCGTAAGCCAGAGCTCTATCGCTATCTGAGTGTTTCTACTAGCCCTCCGTCTGTCTGGGATTCCTCGATTTAGGTTAGCCACCAGTGCAGCTGTGTTTAGCCTCTGTGTGGTCAACACTTAGCTGGAAATGAGGAGTATCGGGTTGCAGAAAGATAATCCTGCATTTAACCAGAGGGATTCCCAATTACTGATTTGTGAAGTCGCTTCAGTGTGCTGCTGCTGCTGGGTTCAGTGTGCTTTCTTAATAGTTCTGGAACGACGTTGCCGTGTTTGGGGGCTTTTAGCCGTAGAAACCCTTCGCCATGATCCATATCTGCATTGTTGTGTCCCTGTTGTACACCACGGAGAATCCCACCGGAGAACCTAAGAGCCCTACCTTGCATTTGTCGGGTGACACCCTGTGTTAGATGGGTACCGAGCGCCTGGCTCAAGCGCCTCCGGGACGGTTGAGTAAAGGAAGGACGGGCTCTTGGGTCAAATCTTGCTTCCATGGCACCTCCACTCTACTCCACCAGCTTGGACCCCGGTGGGGGAAGTGGGGCTCACTGCAGGGGCCAGTCTCAGTGTCCCTCCCTGTGGATTTGGCTAATAGGAGGCAGGAGATTGGTGAATGGGGCGGATAAGGTGGTATCTGTAATAGGAGTGGCTGTGTTCTTCTCTTAGAGATCCTCTCCATACCATTTTCCCAGGGGCTTCCTTGGTGTCTCTGTTGCTCCCAAATAACCACTAAGAGATCTATTATTAATTATAAATGCTTGGCCAATAGCTTAGGCTTGTCTCCAGCCAGCTTTTTCAACTTAATTAACCCATTCCTATTAATCTACGTGCTGTCCCTAGACTTGCTTCCTTATTCTATGAACTTCTCATGTGGCTTCCTCTGAATGTGGCCCGAGACTCCTCAGACTCCACCCATTTTCCTCCCAGCATTCTCTCTGCCTGAAAACCCTGCCTAACTGCCGGCCAATCAGATTTTTATTAACACTGAGAACAACACATGCTTACAGTGACAAAGACTCTTCCACAGCGCACCAGCCACAGGTGCCAACTTATTCCTCCTACACATCTTTAAGACCTGCCCACACCTCTGTAAAGAGTCTCCCTGCGAAATTCTCTTCAGTTCATCAGTGTGAAGGTTTCCAGTGTCCTGTTGAGTGCCTGTCTGACATTTGCCCAAGCCACCTAGTGACAAAGTTGGTGGATGTTTGTCTTTCTTTCATTATTGTGAGTGAATGCTCTAGAAGAGATCTGTGAAAGTGCTCTGTCCTCTCGATTCAATAAAGACTGTGACAAGGCAACATTTATGCTTTCCTGGTCCATGCTGGTGCTTGATAAATATTGGTTGACTGAATGATTATAAGCATCTAATAAGAGAAGCAGAAAATCAATGAGGAGCAGAAGGTGGCTTAGTTAGTATTCCTTGATGCTCTCTGCTCCACTTTCACAGGACAACCACAGCTGTAAGGTAGGGCTGTCCTCAGCAAAGGCGCCTCGCAGAGCAGACTGGCTGAATTTCCCCCAAGATAGAGCTTTGCTTCATAGCTGTCTTAGTTTCTTTCCTATTGCTTCGATAAGATAGCCTGCCAAGAGCAGCTTAAGGGTCAATTTTGGCTCACAATTTGAGATTACAGTCCATTATGGCAGGAAAGTCACAGCAGAAGAGAGAAACAGCAGGTCACATGGCGTTCATAGTCAGGTAGCAGACAGCAGTGAATGCTTGTGTTCAGGTCACTTTCTTCTTTTGACGTACTCTGTGATCCCAGCCTCGGGAGTAGTGCTGTGCACAGTGGGCAGGCCCTCCTATCTCATTCAATCTACTCAAGATAACCTCCCACAGGTACGCCCCAAAGCCTGTCAACTGTAGTTCTAGAAGTCATCAAGTTGACAATTGGAATTAACCATCACGGTAGCCTGAGATGGCTTTGAACTTGCTATCCTCCTGCCTCAGAAATCACAAAGAATTTCAGGACAAAGTCAACAGGGTGATAAGCTAAGCAAGACCCTACTAAGCCTTTGTAGGCTGAAGTCCCTTGAATGAACTCCTGAGAAAGAGGCAGCCAGTAGGAGATCAGAGAGCTAGTTCAGTCTTGAGCAACTTCACGATCTTCAGGATGTGATGGTCTGTTGGGAGCTACTGAGCCTGTGGGCTATGCAATGATAGGCATTTAATACTGCCCAGCCCTGGCCAATATTTAATCACTTCCAAAGTGTTTGCATGTACCTCAGATCCTTATACAGAAAGCTGCTTTTCTAGACCCAAGACACCTGCGTCACACTGACTACCCTGCTTGTCTTGCGCCTTCTCCTTTTCAGTTTAATCTAGAGTCCCCTAGGCCACCCCATCTAAGGGAAGACAATTGCATTTGTGTTCATGTGTCTTGTGACTGTTTCGCTTGGTTGGGATAGTGGTAGTTACAGATCTTGCCACAATCCATGCCTGGAGAATAATATAGGTACATGATGGCTTCTTCTCTGGTCCCAGAGCCTTCCTGTGACCCCCTTCCTCATCACACATTGAGCTTTGTAGGCGCTCCTATGCTATGACCCTTGAAGTCTCCCTGAAGCTAGTCATTCATCATGCCAGCCCCTGGAGTGCCTCCTGCCCTCCATTGCCCTTTTGTCCAGTAGGCTAGGTCCTTGTCTCCCTTTAGAATCACTGGGTCTCTTGGGGGTCTCCAAATGGTGACACTCCAGGAGGGGAGCTATGAGTTCCAGCAAAGACTTCTGATGGGAGCGTCCTCTGCCCCACAGTTATTCCCATTGGTGCTTCCCCCAGACCATTGCCTTCCCCACTAGCCTTTCTGCTGCACACCCTTGCGTAAATGAGGCTCAGATTCACCACTAACCATCTAGTGCTGGAAGTACCCCAGGCTCTCTGCTGACAGGGGTAGAATGCCTGTCACTACAGAAAGTCACCCCACATACACGAGCTCGGAAGTCGGGGTTATTGTTCATTTCCCCCAGTGCTAAGGAAGATGACCAAGTAGCTGTGTGTTTCTTCTCCATGAAGCTAGTGCTTCAGCTTTCTGGTACTGTGAACCCTAGAACTGCCCTTTAGGGACCAGACTCTTAAAGTTCTAACCTTAGAAAACAGTAAGAGCTAAGGACCTTTCTCCTCTCAAAGTCAAGTGGTATCATGCATATCCAGACACAGTTAAAGCACTATTAAATGGAGTCAGGTGGAGTTTTTCTAGGACCAGACAGTCCCCAGGGGTCATTGTCACCAGCTTTTTAACTACAATACCCTCGTGTGTCCTAAAAGACAGCATCTCTGTGTACACATGGTGGTAGCCTTGGCCCAATTTGATATTCCTTCTTCCCTGCCCAGACCTCAGTCTTTACACACTGACTGTGTTCTCTGTCCTCCCAGGGTCCCCGATGGCATATTGAGCTCCAGCCTTGGGCAGGCCCTGCTCAGTCCCTGGATGAAGAAGCCTCAAGGTTCCTGAGCTACATCAGCACCACTCAGGTTCTGTTTCCAGCAGCAATGGGATTGGGAATAATGGCCAAGGTCCTGACCAATCACTGCAGGAAGAATTTGCCCTCTAGGACGGGAGGTTGTGAGGAACCCCTGATAGGGACAGGATAGGGAGCAGGGCTCTGAAGTGTTACTATTTAATTTCCCCCACCCCGTGGAAGCAGAGAACACGGCTCCCGTTTGCTTGTCATCTTCCTTCCAGGACTCTCATCAACCTGGAATGTTCTAATGATTCATCCCCAAGTGTTTTAAAGAGTCACTTTAGAAAATTGCTTCAGAAAGCCATTTGAAGAGACAGATTTGTCCCTGTGAGTAGGCAGTCAAGTGTGTCACAAACAGAACTGTCATCTGGAGGTACGGCTCCTTTCCTATTTGGAAGCACTCGCCTGTGTGCTTCCCAGCCACCGGCACTTGGCAGCCAGGCCATGATGGGTGAGGAAGCCAGGGACTCTGAGGGCTACTGCGAGAAGTCAATGACCCCAGTGCTCACTTCCCTCTCCTTGGAGCGCCCTAAGTTATTACTGAGCATGGCCTTTATCAGTGACATGACACACAGTGGCAGCCTCTGCCCTGCTCCGGGGTGAGGTGGAGTCAGGCTCTGAGAAGGCAAGAGAACTTTCATTAAAGAGACCCCCGGGCTCTTGACTCATTGATCAGAAGGTTCATTCTCATGTTGCCTGATCCGAGGGAAAACACAGACCTGAGAGGAGATGGAAGTCTGAGGGATGCTTAGTCCTGGACTGACAGGTGGCAGAAGACAGGGCTTTTTGAGGCTGGAAACTGAGCACAGATCATAATAGGATGCTCCCTGGGCAGGAGTAGCCTGGAGAGGGAGGTCTGGGATGCTTATATCCTTAAGTCCACTGGTCCTTGGCAATGTACTGAGACTCTCTGGCAGCGACACCCATTACAAAGGATGGGAAAGAATATCCATTCCTTTGAGAGAGGCTCTTGCTGTGCAGCGCAGGCTAGTCTCCTGAATGCTGAGATCACAGGTGCGTGCCATTGTGCCTGACTCATTTCCTGAGCTGTAGGGAGACTAGTTCAGGTTAAAAATCTTATTTCCAACATGATGCAGTCCGAGAGTCATAGGAATTTTAGTACTTGTCATCCAAACATGGAAGTAAAAGCCTGTAGAATTAATTGTGGTTGAAAGAATGATAAATCAGATCCTGTGTTTTACAGAAATTTATCTTATTTGGTCGCTTCAAATTAATTGGGTGGACTTATCCAGGCTTAATTAAAATACTGGAATTTTAATTTTACATTTTGGCTTTACATGGGGGATAGGAGACCAGATCTCTTAATTACAACTTAAAAACGCTCTTAATGGCCTGGAGAAAAATTAGAGGTATTTAATATATAAACAATTTGAAAATGATGCGCTCAATCCAACAAAATTAATTTATTGAATGAAAGCCTCCAAATTCCATCTTATATGTGTTTTAGGTTTATGCTTTATAACACATATAAAGGGGTCTTTACTTAAAAGAAGCATTGGGGCATTTAGTTGTCATTTTAGATGTCTCTTGTGTCTTTCTCATGAGAGGGGAAAAGTGTAGCAAAAGAAAAAGGAAGCATGTTCTGATGTCCTGTGGCTAACACTGGAACCTGGACAGTTGATTTTGCTTCTATGGTTGTCACCATTCTAATCCTGAAAGGCTTGAGGTTAGACCAAATGCTTGAGGTTAGAACAAATGCCTCTAAGATCTCCCCTGTGACTGAGCACTGTACAGAAAGTAGGTTAGGGTTGTTATTGGCCAAGTATTTCTGAGCACCTATGTGACTAGGGATTTTGGAAGGCACTGGGCTTACAGTCTTGGCCTCAAGGAGCCCAGGAATGAGTGGCCATATAATTATTGACATAGTGAGAAGTTCCATAATGGAGACCTGGTGTTTGAAGCTGTAGGAGAAAGACTCTTTACACCAATGTGATGCGGACTCTACATCTGGATCCAGGACCCTAACTAACACAAGAGTTAAGAGCAAGGTGGACGGCGTTTCTGCTAAACTTCCCAGGAGGCTTCATAAGATAGTGACGTCCTAAGAAGTGGCCACAGCATGATGCTGTTACATCTTAAGATGAAGAAAAATGAACTTGTGAGGGAGCAATAGGTCAAATGGACCTCTACAGGGTTAGTGCCAGGAGATCTGTGATGGGGACCTGGGCAGCAGGCACAGAGTGGGGTGGAGGTAGTGTCTTAAGAGGCTATTTCCCAGGACAGTGGTGGCGCACCCCTTTAATCCCAGCACTCGGGAGGCAGAGGCAGGCGGATCTCTGTGAGTTCGAGGCCGGGCTGGACCGACAGCCTCTAAGACAATACAGAGAAACTCTGTCTCGTAAAACCAAAAAAAAAAAAAAAAAAAAAAAAAAAAAAAAGAGGCTATTTCCCAGCCTCAGTATGGGAAGGCCACCCCACCCAGAAAAATCTAGCTTGTTACATATAGGAAAATCAGGCCAGTGGCTGTCTCTGAAGCTACAGTCCCCAAGTGACTGTGGCTTGAAGTAATGATTGTATCCGTTTGGAATATTTTTGAAATGATGTGTCCTGAGTTCCTTCTAGACTCAGTGGGAGGTTTTTTGTGCTTCAGAAATGTGACAGATTGCAGACCTCACAAGAGTTTTGTAATCAGGGGACATTTATCTGGTGAAGCGCTGTGCTCTGATGGCTTCCAGGTGGGAGCCATCATGAATGACACCGACTCTTCATCAGACCCTTTCACCAGCCATGGCTCCCACCCCTTCTCTGTGCAACAAGGAGCTTTGGGGATGCTTTTGTGACTTGTGCCTCATTTAGAAATCATCTAACAATGGAAGCCTGCAAAACTTGCAGAATATTAAAGTCACTGCTACCTAAAATTTTCAGTTAGCAGCAGTGAGTCACTAAGTGAATTCCACCCCCATCCTCTCATGCTGCTTAAAAAAAATCCCTCAAAGCTGTGTTCAAACTCACACAGCAAGGCACAGTGTTTGATAAGCTCATGGCTGAGGTTCTCATGTCTCAGTACATAGGCCTTTGGTGAGCACATGCCCAGGGGCTGGCAGGATCTGGCCTCTGGGATCTTAAACCTTAACAAAAAAGGCCCCTCTCTCATGGTTAGTAGGGACATGAGAGGCATCTAACTGAGGGCAGGCATGTGGGTGGGTACCCTGTGCTTAGGTACTCTGTGCTTAGTGATTAGGGCTCTGATTTTTTTTTTTTTGGTGGGACACCAGAGGATACGATATTTGACCAGAGTATGCAGTCAGGTCCAGTTTAATAAGTAATATTGTTTGTCTTAGTATGGGAGGCCTTGATGACACCACAGAGTTCTGCAGCCAGTTCTAGAATGAGCTGCTAAAAGGAAACAGTTAACTCAGAAGTGCTTGCTGGAGCTGACGAAGGCTTCAGAGCCAGCTCTTCATGGCGGCCCCCATACCATATGCTCCAGGAAGCAGAAGCTTCCCAGTAAGGAGTTCACGTTAGCAGCTGTGGCTGTTCTAAATAAGAAAAAATGTTTCAAATTCTATTTTTCTATTACTGCCCATCTACAATCTGTTTTTGTCCAATTATCTACACATCTACTTGTAAAATACCCAAGAAGTCAGGCCCTAGAGACCTGGAGACACAGATTAGAATTTTGCAACGTTTTATCAATAGTAGGTATTATATTTGTGTTTCTCTCTCTCTCTCTCTCTCTCTCACACACACACACACACACACACACACACACACACACACACACACACACCTGGATGGAGAGAACAAAATATTCAGTTCTGCCTTTAAGCTTTTCAAAATAATGTAACTATATAAATATACATTTGATTTTTAAAGGAATTCTTGCCAAAACTCCCCCAATTCTAAGGACTCCTTTTGCCACATTCTACCCATGGGTTGGTAGAATTGCTGTTCCAGCTATTCGGATGCAAAGCAAAATGGAAATGAGTTAGATCCCTTTAAGCTAAATAAATTTAAAAAATTCATAAAACATTTTTTCCTGGCGTCTGTTTGCCTTTGTCCAGACCTAATTTACTTCATATGGCTAAAATTACAAGGGGAATTAGGCAGGCAGAAGGTATAATTACTTCAGCTGAAACTTAGCTTGGAGTGTTTGTCCTTATTTTGCTTGTAAGAGAGTTTATTGAAACCTTGGGTATAAATCTTAACCAGAAAGTTTGAAAAAAATCAATATTTAATTAATTTTTAAGAGCAGAATTTTATGGATGACTTCTAGTTATTCCCTCCCCTCCAAAAAATACCCCTGAATATCTGTGAATGAGATGGTTAATGAATAGTTAGAATTGGCTAATTCCTGGACTGCAGTTTTATCTAAGAGGGGACGAAGGGTTTGGAAAATAGTGTCTCTCTGATAGAATATCTGTGCAAGATAAAATCCTAGAATAAGAAAAAAATTGTAATTAGATAAAGTTCGATCATAGTAAAGAAGACCCTAGACCATGGCTGCACCTCAGCATGATAACCCTGGACTTGGGGCCCTGGGCCCCTTCCTTTGAGAGGCCTCTGGTTAACTGATCTTTGTGAGGGGTCCAAGTGAATACTGTTTTCAACTGAAAGCAGTGGCCCAGGTTCAGTCACCTTCCTTCACTTTCTAAGGTACACGTAAGAAGCTGAGGTCAGGTCACTTTTGGGGTAGTTTATAAAAGGCCAAACCTCCAGCAAGCTCAAAGGACCACCTGCCTAAGGGAGCCTGCAGAGCTTGTGAGACTACATCTTTCTTGGGGTCATGACACCTTGTGTATTTAGTGGAACCCAGAACCCGCACCTCTTTTTTTTCTGGAACAGTTTCTCTTTTTATTTTTTATCACTTTTTAACATTTTAAAACAATCTTTTCTTATTTCAGTTTCTACTCCCTCCCTTCCTCCTGCGCTCCCCAGCCTCCCCCACCCCACCCCATCGGCTCCTCAGAGAGGGTAAGGGGAGTAAATGAAATCTGCCCCATCACCACATTGAGGCAGGATCAAGGTCCACTCCCCTATATCTAGGCTGAGCAAGGTATGCTTTCAAAGAGAATGCGCTCCAAAAAGCCAGTTCCAGCACTAGGGATGAATCCTGGTCCCACTGCTAGTGGCCCCTCAGACTGCCCAAGCCACACTTCTGTCAAAGAACCCAACTTTTTACAGCAAACCAATTTCTAGGTGATTCTGAAGCAGGGGGATGACACCTTAAGCGACACTATGGAAGAGGCCAGAGTGGAGCTTCAATGCCACCAGAAAGGCAATAGGAACATAGCCCATGTGCCATCACAGAAGGTCTTAGGGAGAAGTGTCTGCAAGTGTCCAATCTTCAGAGCAGGGCACTGCCCTGGAGCAAAAGGCTCAGACTTAGGCAGCCCAGGGTCCACAGAAGTGCCTCAGTCTCACCAGCCTCCCAGAGGAGGCACAGAACAGAAGTGCTGAGTTCCCCAGGTTCAAGACACAGCAAGTTTCTCATTAGTAGATCAGAAGAGAATGCAGGGTCCTCTGGGACTAGAGTTACAGTTGTGAGCCACTAGGTGGATGCGGAGAATTGAGCCCTGGTCCTCTGGAAGAGCAGCCAGTGAGTGCTCTTAGACACCAAGCCATCACTCCAGCCCTGTTTTCATTTTTAACTGTGTGTGTGTGTGTGTGTGTGTGTGTTTGTGCATGCGTGCGTGCGTGCGTGCATGTTTGCCTATATGTGGTCATGTGGAGGCCAGAGGTTGGCATCAAATGCTTTCTTCCATTGCTTTCCTTCTTCTAATCTTATCTATTTGTTGAGGTAGGGACTTTCATTGAACCTGGAGCACACAACTCAGCCAGACCGGCCATGAAGCCAGATCCACAGCCTCCTAAATACTTGAGTTACAGACAACATTGCAGTTACAAATGACCCAAGATGCTACTGAGGATTTTGCAGCAATTATTTTAGACACTGAGCCGTCTTGCCAGCCCTAGAATATCTTTTTAAGAAAAAAAATCTCCTGCTGTTGTTGTTTTCCAATGAAAAAAGCAGAGAACCCTGAAACTCCTTTGTATCTGCAGGGATCTTTTGTCTCCCATGTGATGGCTTGGAGAGTTTTGAGCAGTGGGGAGAAGGGGGACTTTTGGTCACTCAGTAAGGCCGGTGTCTGGGACTCTGACTGTTTTCTTCTACTCTATCAGCCTTGGCCGTACGCAGTATGAGCCCCAACTCAAGCCATCCTCCTTTAGGAGTTCGTTTGCTTACTGTGCATTGGAATTAGGCTTCTTTCTACTTAACTTCTATCTGCATTCTCTTTGGTTTCCTTATCTAATTTTGATGCCTGAGTTACCAGAAGTGCTTGGGTTAGCTGAGCAGCACTTTCTGCTCCAGGGCCCTAGCCCTTCTCTCCCAGGAGGCAGCTCATTAGAGACCATCATTAGAATAATTAGCTCATTAGAGAATCCTGGCTTCTCAGCAGACACTTGTCCCAGGATCAGCTGGACAGGATAGCACAGGTTACTTTTGTGACCTCAGTGCCCGTCCTCCCCTTATCTGCCTGTAACAAGGCACAGGTAACCTTGTGAACATCACACTTTTGCAGTAGCCACAATGCCCAGATCTCAGTCAAGGCATCCTTCTTAATCCCCTCCTCCACTAACTTCCGTCCACCCTCCCCTCTCCCCCTCCCAGACACAACCTCCCAAGTCCTCTTCCTTCCTATCCTGGTTCCCAATTTGCAATGTGGGCAGATGGCTACTGCAGCCCATTTCCTTTCAAACTTGCATTGTGTCTTCACGAGGTTGCTTCTTATCGGACTTGTAATTGAAATTCCTCTAAACGTTTTTCAGCGGTCCTGTGGTTCCCTGGGGGGAGGAGAGTAGTTAGCAGTGGAGGACATAACTCTCCCATCACTGTTTCCAGGAGCAGGGAAAGCAGTTAAGTCTCTACCTGCCATTCATCATCTAGCATTTTAAATTATTCATATTGATTTCCAATCCTTACAGATTGCATGTGATCACATGGGTACAGACAGCTTGGCAACTGACTCCAGCCCTGCAACGAAGCCCTGGCTGGTGTGTCTTGATGACAGGTTTGGCTTAGCTCATCAAATCCGCAGCAAGCGGTGCCGCCTCTACTCCTTAGGGTAAGACTTTGTTTTATAGCAGAGGAGAAGACAAATATTCCTGCAGGCAGCCAAGGCCCTTTCAGTGATGACAGGAGGTGGCCGGAGCAGTGTGTGCAGGCGATGTGTCTTGTCTCTTGCCTCCATCTTAGCAGGAACCACCTTTCCTTCCATCCTGCTGGTAAGAAGGTAGCAGCTTCACTTTCAGCACAAGGAGGGTCCCCATGGAGAAACCAGAGGCTTCCAGCATGAATTAGAACACCCTTGTTAGAGAGAGAAAAATATCAATGACTGTATCGAGGAAGAGTGTACCAGGAATGCTACACACAGTTATGAATGACCCAAGACAGATAACAGTCACTACTGTGTGGTGGGCGTGGTATCTGTGATCAAGCTATGTGTAGCTTTGTTTAGGTAAAAAGAAAGTAAAGGGGATTCTTAGAAAAAAGCATGCAATTTTTTCCCAAAACACTTACTTGGTTTATACAGGTTGAAAATGATCTCAGTGTACAAATAGATTACGAGAGGGTCTATAAAACCATGAATATAAATTAATGAGACTATTTCTCCAAGTGTATCAGCACTTTTGTAAACAGTCCTGAACTTACAAATGTGTCTCAAGTTTCTATCACAGTGATGGAACACCATGACCAAAAGCAACTTGGGGAGGATAGGGCTTATGTATCACAGCTCACCCAGAGATGTCAGGGCAGGAACTGGAGGCAGGAATCAAAGCCCTGGAGGAGTGTGGCTTACAGTGCTGCCATGGCTTGCTCAGTCTGTTTTCTTACAGAACCCAGGACCACCAGGCCAGGGGTGGCCCCACCCACAATGGGCTGGACCCTCCCACATCAATCACTAATTAAGAAAATGCTCTACAGGCTTGTCTATAGCCACATCTTATGGAGACATTGTCTCAAGTTGTAGTTCCTTCTCAGATGTCTCTAATTTGTGCCAAGTTGACATGAGCAAAACACAGCTCACAAAAAACAATAGAACAAAACAAACCACAAGGACAAAATGATACACATCTCAAAACAAAGAAGGAGAGAGTTATTTCTGCTCAGTAGACTACAGAGGCCAAGTAGGCTCTCAGGTTAGACCACTGTAGTATTTTTTTAAAGTAGTTAAGAAGACCCTAAGCAATGTCACACATGCCTGCTCCTCAACTATGGGCTTCACTTACTTCATTCCACTGTGTATTTTCAGACATCTGTCGGACTCTGTGGTCATGAGTATGGAAAAACACCTGGGTGTCATGGAGACTTCCCCAAAGGAGCTGGTTAGGAGGGGAGCAAGCATCATTGCAATGGAACTGTTACAAGCAGCTGTGGGCTGGGGTGTAGCTAAGTCGGTAGAGTGTTTTCCTAGCATGCACGTGGCCCCTGGCCTTGATTCTTAGCACTACAAAACCAAGACATTCACACTTAGAATCCCACCACTCAGGAAGTAGAGGTAGGAGAATCAGAAGTTCAAAGTCATCCTCTACTATATAATGAGATCAAGGCAAACATGAGTTCCTGGGTCAAAAATAAAGGATTGCAAATCATTGCAGACTCTTATAAAACAAAGAATTCAAATGGAAGTGTGAAGTTAATATATTCATAATTGCATCGAATGAAGATGTATTGCAGGTGTCTCCAGATGGGACTTGGCATGTTGGTATTGGCTATGTCATGGGTTGCTTGAGAAGGGGACCCAGGTAGTGTGTTGAATGGCACTAAAGTCAGGCAGGAGCTGTACAGCCCGTTGATTAGAACCTAGCTTTTCCTAGAAGCCCCCAGCTATGCTTCAAAACTGTAGGAAGGACAGGAAGTCATGACAGCAGCATTTATTTTATGCCACACTAAAAATTTGTGAAACTAGGTCAAAAAATAATTGCATGCAGATTGGCAACATCGTCTTGATCCTATTTCCTGGTTCCAAGCTTTCCATTCTGCTTAACATTTTACATTCTATAATAAACTCATTTATGAATATAACTGAATAAGATAAAACTTGGGAAGATTTTTAGGATGTTTGGAAATCCTCCCCCCACCCTTATGCTTCCAAGCTGTTAGATAAGATGGTTCTGCAGCAAGATTTCAGATTATTACAGAGAAAAACATGATTTTCTTTCATTTACATTCAAAATCAGCTTTGCAAAAAGCAAATGAGAACTTCTGAATTACACTGGAAACAGAAATGAATAGATTATAAGGGTCAATATTTGGTGAAGACATGGAAGCTTTTATTACAAACTTCAATCTAGCTGAGCATGGTGGTGCACATCATTAATCCAAGCCCTGAGGGGGCAGAGGCAGGTGGATCTTTGTGAACTCAGGGCCAGCCAGTCCTGTCCCCAAATGAGATCCTGTCTCCTAAAACAAAACAAAATAAAGCAAACAATCAATCGAACAACTTCAAACCCCCAAACCAAACCCAAAACCCACAAAGAAACAAGGAAAAAGAAAAGAAAGATAGAAAACTTGACTCTAAAGAAAGCATTTGTGATAGAAAGAAATAACACTTGACTGCTGGCAGTGGGTAAGACTGGTGACTGTACTGTGACTTGGGGTCTGGGATCTAGACACCCCTCCTGTTTTGATGAGCTGCTTGTTGAGGACAACAGATTACTGCTTGCCATCTCAAGCAGCGCTGAGGGGAAATACACAAGTAATGGTTCAGAAACAAGGAACTACTGCTGGGAATGCTGGCCCTGTGTTGCCAGTGTCTGGGAGCCTTGGGACAGTTGTGATAGAGGGAGCATGGATGGGGAATCTGTGGCCTCTACCTACAAGTGTATGTGCGAGCTCCTAAGAAGGACAATGACAAAGCTATGTCTCTGCGGGGCCCCGTGACTCCCAGGCAAACCAAAGATAAAGATACAAACAACTAGGGGGGTGGGATGAGGAGGCCCCTGGCATGAGAGTCCAGGAGTCAGAAGACAAAGACTGTGTCTGATCTGCGTCATCCTTTCTCCTCCACCCTCATAACTGAAGCAGGTGTTGCCTTGACTGTCTCCCCCGGGGCTACCATTTCTCTGCTGGAGTCAAAATTTCATATTCCACAGTGGATGTGAAAAGACCACTGTCTGTTACAGTGTGTTCTATCAAAACTTAACTCAGCTTTTCACTTTTCAAACGATGTAGAGTAGGCCAGTGAACATACTGTAAGGGACAAGAAAGGAAGCTAAATGCTGAAAGGAAGAAAAGTAAGACAAATTGAGAAACAGGAAAAGGCCGTGGGTTCAGAGGACACCTTGCAGATCCGGCAGGCTCTTCCCAGTAGGTCTTCCAGTAATGACAGTGGCGAGGGGATTGTCCAGGTGTGGTGGGAGGACAGAGGAGAGTGGAGCAGAGGGAGAAGCTGCCTAGTTTACTCTCATGGCAGCGACTGTGTTTTAGGGGTAGGACTGAATGCCTGGGAAGATGGAAGGAACAAAGCAGAGGCCCGCCATCTTCGTCTCCTCCTGCTCTGTGTTAAATTATACTATTTGGTTTCAAGACATGATTTCTTGGTGTGCGGCAGAAGATTTCCTGTGTCACACATGGTGAGGCAACTCGAGCCAGTATTTTAGACAGAAAACCTGCAATGTGGCTGAGAGCATTTCAAGAAGAATGAATGAACCTCACAGCCAAGTACGTTTGCTTCCCAGAGCTTGAATGGAGCCAGCAGGAGCAGTGCTAGCACAGGACACATGAATGGGGAAGGAGAAGACTGTGGGCCTCAAAGTTTCCACACACTGTCTCCCAGATTACCGGCTGTGGTCTGGTAACACCACAGACACTCTGTGCAGCTGTTTGTGCCATGGATAACATCTATGCTTCATCTGTAAAAAATCCTCTTCATTCTTTTCGAATGACAGTGTCCTGGGAATACATGTTTGTTTGTTTTTTGTTTGTTTTGTTTTTCAGACAGGGTTTCTCTGTATTGTTTTGGAGGCTGCCCTGGAACTAGCTCTGTAGACCAGGCTGGCCTTGAACTCACAAATATCTACCTGCCTCTGCCTCCTGAGTGCTAGGAATAAAGGTGTGTACCATCAACCCCCGGCTAATAAATGGGTTTTTAGGATAAGGTTTCACTGTGTAGCCCTGCCTGTTCTGGAATGCCCTATGCAGACCAAGCTAGCTTCAAACTCAATGAGATCCTCCTGTCTCTGTATGATGGGAAATGGCATTCTGTAAATATGTTTCTCTTATGGGTTGATGAATAAAACACTGTTGGCTAATAGGAAAGCAAGATAGGCAGGTCTAGGAGACGAGGAGGATTCTGGGATGTGGGGACAGTCAGTCATTGTGTAGGATTGCAGAGGAGTAACATGTCTCCAGACATTTCTCCAGTAAGATAAGACCACATGGAAATACTTAGACATAGAAACGGGTTAGTAATTGAGACAGAGCTAACCAATAAGAAGCCCTAGTCGATGGCCAACGGATTTATAGTTAATATAGTGCCTCATGTGTTATTTGGAGGCTGAAGCAGCAGTGGAACCCAGGCAGCTGGCGGGAAAGAGTACGCATAGCATCTGTCTCTTGAGTACTGAGATTAAAGGCATATACCACCATGCCTGATTTCATATTTTAATGACACTTTTGAATTTCATGCAGTGTTACTAGCACAGAAAGCAATAATTGTAAAATATTTTATTGTCTGTCTCTTTGTGCTTTGAGATCCCCCCACCACACACCCACACACACACACATGAACGCACGCACACACACACACATGTGCATATTTGGAAATTTACAGATCTAGCCTGCCACCTGGCCAGAGTGTCTTCCCCACTGCTGGTGTGCTGACACTCCAGAGGAAAATGCTTCTCACCACTTCCAGACCTCTTCTCTCAGTGATGAAGGCTAAGAAACTTCTGATCTGTACTCTGGATTTGTTTTTATTGTTTTTAGCTTCTTAGCAGTATTATTTCCGTATTAATATACTTATATACTATGTGTAAATATACTCACATCCTTGAACGCACAAACCAGAGGTTCCTTTTAGTCACTGCTCTTAAACATTTTCATCACACCCTCCTTCCCAAA